TATTTAACATTGATTACAAATTTCAAAGAATGTCGATGATTCATGTCCCTCTTGTTCACATAAGGTGCTTCAATAAATTTAATGTGATATTTTTTGAACTTTAATTCCCTTGCCTTTACTTGTCACAATATAGGTCAATGGGTAACACAACTTTTTTATCAAGGTGTTGTACTGATTAATATAATTTACTTAGTGCGTCTTTTATTTTTTATTACTTGGCATGCCATTCCCATAAGTATATGTTATCTCCAAATTAAAGATGAATTACAAATAGATTTTTAACAGTGTGTTTTTGCACAAAAATATGTTAAAAAGTTTTATTAATAGAGAGACTTTAAAAACTTTAAAATTTAAAACATAATAAAAAAAACTCTATAACATCAAGTCCAATATTGCGCTACAATACTATTCAATATCTGGGTTGTGCGAAAAGCTCGCTCCAATGCTGAGCTACATTTCTGCAGTACTCTGAAAATATGAGCAGTATCGCGCTACATGTAGCCATGTTGCGCTACAATGCTACTCTATTTCAGAGCTGTGCGAAAAATTCTCTCCAATGTTGCGTTACATTTCCGCACTACTCTGAAGATGAACAGCATTACGCTACATGTAGCGGGAAACTGCTCATCGCACTAAATTTTTTTTTTCAATTTTTATTTTTTTTAATTGATTTTTATTCCATATATTAGTATACATTAATAAAATTATTTATTTTGTAAAAAATTTTAAATTTCGATTATATTGTGCTACTTATTTTTTTTAATACTAATATATTTATATGTAGAGTAAAACGTAGCGCGAACGACTGGAGATAAAGTTAAATTTTGACATTCTCTACTTCAGAGTAGAGTTAACTCTAAGGTAGATCAGTTGACTGGAGATTATCTAAATGCATGCACATTTAACATGTCGAATTTTAAATCATGCGCAAAGACACAACTAACTTGTATCAAAGCTTCTTCTGATAGAAGAGAAAAAAATGAACTGTAATGTAATTAGCAGATATTATCCCGCATACATCTTTTGAATCTTAAAGCTAACAGCTTAAACCAGCTTTCAATCAACTTTCGCATCACGAAGAAGCATCTATCATTGTTACATAATGTGATTCAACTACACCTTACTTTATCGTCAATCATTAACAAACAAACCTAACTGGGGCTCTATATATATACATACGCTAGCCCTTTTAAGCAAAAGTTTCTTCGAATAGAGGGGACAAAATAGAAATTATGATACAATTAGCATATATTGTCCGATATATCATTTGAATCTTAAATCTAACCTCATAAATTAGTTTTGGGGCTCTCTATATATATACCCCTTTTAAACAAAAGCTTCTTTGAATAGAGGAGAAAAAATGGAATTGTGATACAATTAGCAGACATTTTCATATCAACATTTTCCGACATATATCATTTGAATCTTAAATTTAACCGCTTAAATTAGTAATTTTCATATCAACATTTGCATCACAAAGAAAAGTATCCATCATTGTTAATTACACATTTTGATCCATCTTCAAATTAAAGTAGGTCCTTATTTTGTTGTCGACCATACAAATAAACCTAAACGGGGTCCCACAGGCTTGGACCCACGACCACAAAGTTAAGAGCCTTGTGCTCTACCGACTGAGCTAGACGGGCCATTTGTTGAATGTGTAACACTTTTCTATTCGACTTTTCTTGAAACCATATGAACACGAATGTCAACATCTTGTTATAATTTTTACCAAATTAAACTGACCATATTATTTAGCACATCAAAAATTATAAAGATGTCGTAGAATTTTTTCTTTTCATTTAAATATTGGGCACTTTAAAAATTGAATTGACTTTTTCAGGATTTACGTGAGAAATTTATATTTGTTTGGGATTTTGAGTAACATTATGAGATTTGATAGTTTTTAAGATTTTCAGATTTAGAAGAAATCATTTGAAGTATTGAGTTTGAAAGTGGAATTTGGAGTCGGATTTTGTATATGTTTTTTTCTTTTAAAATCCTAACAAATTTTAAAAGGTATTAACAAATCTTATTATCAAACAAGTTAAATACCTCAAAATTTTATAAGAATTTTTAAAATCTCCAAATGAATAATTAAAAGTCTTAAAAAATTTAAATTAAATGCACAAGGATTTTAAAAGTTTTAAAAAGTCTTTAAAAATCTCAAATGAATACACCCTTACAATTTTTTTTATTTTTTTTTCATTCACAAAAGAATTTCTTTTAATTGCAAATTGTTTAAGAATGGTTGATCTATAATTTATTTTTGTTAATAAGTCCTAAGTTGAATTACTTTTTAGTTTATGACTCGTTTATGAGTACTTTAAGTATGGTATTTTTTAATTGTTGTATTTTTTACAAATAATTTCAAAAAGTTTGACGTAAACATATAAAATGGTTGTTATTGAATGATGGGCTTAGCACAAAAATATTAGCATTGTTCAGATAAATTCGTAAAGTTGGACTGGACTTGCCACTACAAAGACTAATAAATGGGCTTTTTGAAGATTTATATTAGCCCCATTGGTATCACTGGGGCTTTGCTTTGATCTATTAAGCAATAATTACCTAATAAAATAACCAATCTAACCAATCACCATGATTTTTATTTTTTTACACGTTTTGGTACACATGTATTACCAGCAAATCATAATGTCTAAAGTGAGTTGCAAGTTATAACACAATAAAAGCAAGCAAAACTGATGTGCTTGCCTGAAAAATCTGCTAAAATAACATGAATTGGCCAAAAAGAAAATGAGAAAAAAAAAATATATGATGGGCATTAGGTAGTTTATCTGTTACTTTAGCTACCCATATTTCTGAAAAAGATCCTGTTATTACCATATGAATCGTTGGGTCCCGCTTTCGTGCTTCCAAGAGAAAGGCCGAAACAAGAACATAAACATCGTGAAGCAATTTACGGCAAGGTAAAAGATCCCGGTAAAAACAGAGCTCCAGCTGTCTGTAACATTCGAGTGAAGAACAAGGAAGAAAAACGGGATCGTGTAATATCTGAACTCAATCAACGGTGCAGGAACAAGTGATGCAGCACATGCGAAAAAATACGCCAACACCCAGAGCTTTTTCTGATTTTTAGCTGCAAATGAAAATAGTATGCATAAAGAAAAAACAATATTTTTTGTAAAGAAAACACGTAAATGTAAAGGGAGATGGGCTTTTTCTGATTTTTAGCAGCAAATGAAAATAGTATGCCAAAAAAAAAAAGATCTTTTTGTACATAAAACACGTAAATGTAAAGGAAGATGGGTTTTTTTGTACAAACCCAGGTTATTGACAATGGAAAACCACGAGTAGACATAAAGTGGGATCA